ATTATCATCATCATCATCATCATCATCATCATCATCATCATCATCATTTTCATCTGAATCATCATCGGCGTCATCCGAATCATCATCACCATCATCATCATCATCATCATCCTCATCATCATCCTCACCATCACCACCACCACCACCATCGCCATCATCATCGTCGTCATCGTCATCGTCATCCTCATCTTCATCATCATCCTCACCCTTGTGCTCCGGCTACGACCCCTCGTTCTTTTTGTTGCCCGGACCTGCGCCTCTTCCTGCTCGAGCTCGCCATGCCTCGTCTCCCCCGTGGCCCCGCGCCGGCTCCCTCCCCAGCCTGGTAGCAGCGCTGAACCCGCGGAGGGGCAACGGAGGGAGGAGGTGTGCCCGCCACCCCCGTCAAAAACGATTGCAGAGCGCACGCTGCGGCAAGCTCTTGGACCATGCGCAGGCACCACGCGACCATTCTGGTGTGCCACCTCTCCCCTCGGACACGGCCAACGGGTGTCGCGAGTCAGGAGGTCGCTGGGCACACCGGACACACCACTCCAGCCGGCCTGCAACATAGGCCGACTCCTGCTCGGGAACCGTGGCCCGAACTACTGTTCGACGCCGGGGGGCGAAGGGACCCGTGGAGGAGGAGGAGGAGGAGGAGGAGGAGGAGGAGGAGGAGGAGGAGGAGGAGGGGGAGGGAGCTCCGAGCGTCCAGGTCTGGTACGCGCAGGATGGCACCGCCGGGCGGCGGATCGATGCGGCGGTGCAGCAGTGGGGACCGGGCCACCGCCCGCGCGGCGCACCTCGTGGGCGTGTCGCGCACCTGGCGGGCGGCTGCACTGGGCCCCGGCTGTCGACGGCGGCCCCAGCCCGTGCTGAGGCCCGGGGGTGCCACTCGTGGGACTCGTGTGCTGGGAGGGCGGGTCCCAGACCTCGGGCGTCTCGAAAAAATCGAGACAAAGGTTTTTCATCGTTTTCGGCCTCTGGAGGCCCTCGCCGGGCCTCGGGACCGTCAAAAAACGACTCGGGATGAAAAACCGGTCCCGGGGAAGTGGTCGGAAGGTTGGGGGCCCGTGTCTCGAAAAAATCGAGACGTCGGATGTCTGGGAGGGCGGGTGGGAGCGAGAGGGGCCCGGACCCCCGACGTCGCGTTTTTCCGCAGCGTCGACCCCCGGAGGTCTGGGACCCCTTCTCCAGGACGGGTGTTAGTCGTTTTTTGGGGGCGGTCACGAGGCCCGGTGAGGGCACCCGGAGACCGAAAAGAGCGAACAACCTCCTCTCATGCCTTTGTCACAGCGCGAGGGGATCTGTGAAGGGGCCCTGGGACACACAAATAAATACACACAAATAAAAATATCCCCCATATGTTCCCATATTTTCTGGTTTTTTGTCTTCCCCCCCACTCCCCATATTTTCCCATATTTTCTTGGAAATCGACGATTAATTGTGTCTGTGTGTTTTTTGTCCCTCCTAATCTGGAGAGGCAGGTAGAGAAAGAGCAGGGACTGAGAGGAGAGGACGGTCCGCCGGGCCCCCCCGGGGGGCCGGCAGGCTGCCTGGGCGGGGCCCCGCATGCTCCCCGCGCCAGCTCCGTTCCCCGTGTTCTCCGCCACCACGCCTTCAGCACGAAGCGGAGCGCCCCATGGGCTTCTGCAGACGCACGAATTTCTACGAACGAGCAACACACACACACACACACACACACACACATACCGCAGGTTTGCGTCGTGTCGACCCAGGCGATGGTTCTTGACACCGCGGGAGTCGTTCAACCTTGAACGATCGGCCGCTGCCGCAGCGTCCGATCGTTCACCATCGATCGAGTCTGGGTCGCCGGCGGCGTTCAACCTTGAACGCCCGCGCTGGGGTCGCCGCTGGTCGACACTACGCAAACCTACCGTACCCATTGGGGGATCGGAGGGAGGAGGGCTGGCTATGGGTATGGGTGCGCGCCGTCGGACCGCGGGGGAGGCCCCCGTTCGGGCGGGGACCCCCCTCCGACAACACGCACCCACAGCCCTCTCCGTCCCCCCATTATGGGTATGGGTAGTTATGGGTTGCTCGTTCGTCAAATTTGGCGGATTGCACGACTCTCCCAAAATTTCCGACCTGACGAATTTTACGAATTGGCCCAAGGCACGGACCACGAAGGGCTCCCAACTTCGCGCTTCGCGCTGCGCGAAGCGCGAAGCGCGAATAACTTCGCGCTCTCGCGCCGCCCTCCCAAAGGGAGAATAGGAGGACGAGGAGGAGGGGGAGAAGGAACGAGGACCGCGAAGCGCGAAGCGCGAATAACTTCGCGCCCTCGAGGGAGCCCTTACGGACCACGAGTTTCCCACAACTGCCGGGCGCTCGGGGATGCTCCTGGGGGTGTGCCGCGTCGGCCTGCGGGACAGGCGAATTCCGCCCAGAACGACCCGACGAGCCTGCAAAGAGTCTCCCGAGAAGCACCCCAAGACGGGCCTAGAGAGCGCCGAGGCGGCCTGCGAGGGCCTAAGGATAGGGCGACGAGATCTATGCATATCCACTGCTCCTGGCCAGGCCCATCCTGGGCATATGCCTCCCTGGCCAAGCCAGGAGGGCGTATACACAGCTCTTGGGCCCAGGATTGGCCTGGCCGGGAGCAGTGGATATGTATAGATCTCGTCGCCCTAAAGGACAGCCCAAGATGGACCCTAGATAGCCCAAGAGGTCCCAGTACGCCCCAAGAGACCACAGGAAAGCGCCACAAGATGGCAAAACCACCGATTTACCATAGGGTGGTTCTCACATTCTCGAGCTGCCGACGCAAGACTGCCCAGGAGGCCCTCAAGATCGCCCCAAGACAGCCCAATAGCCGCCAAAGAAAACCCCAAGACGGCCCAGAAGGCCCCCGAAACGGCGTAGGAGGCCCCCTTTGTGGCGGGCCAAGACGGCCCAAGGCCCAAAGAGGGAAGACAAACTGACATCTCGAACCCTCCGCCCCGAGACGACCCCCGAGACCGTCAGCGGGCCCCCGAAAGGCCCTCAGGAGGCCCCGAAATACCACCAGTGAGGGGGCCCCAGGACACACAAATAAATACACACAAATAAAAATATTCCCCATATTTTCCCATATTTTCTTGGTTTTTGCCTTCCCCCCCACTTCCCATATTTTCCCATATTTTCGGGGGGATCGACGATTAATTGTGTCTGTGTGTTTCTTCCTCTCCTGAACCAGACGCACCAGAGACACCCCCAGGATGCCTCCCAAAAAGGGTCCCGAGAGGCCCACGGAGCCCTCCAGAATGAGCCCACGAACCAGGCACGATGGCAAGATGGGCCGCAGGCCACTGCAGTTGCAGGTGTGCCGCTTTGTTGGCTCCAGTGTTGGACCGATGGAAGTCCGCGAAGGGGGCGGAGCCCGAAAAACAGAAAAAGGGGGACCACGCCAGAATCGCAGCCTCGGACGCTGCGGGAGGGTCCTTGGGACACGTAAAATACCATGCGCCCCGGAGCCACAATCCCTAAATTACCACAGCCCCGGAGCCACAGTCATGCGGTTGCGCTGCCGATGCCACAATCCTTTGTGACTGACAGCGGGCTCGCGCCCCCGAAACCGCAATCTTGCGTCACTAACGATGGGCTGGCGCCCCCGAGGCCGCAATCCCTTGCAAATCACTGCACATTTGCGTTCCCAACGGAGGTTGCCCAAAAACGCCACCACCTTTTCCAAAACAGAAAACTGGCATGTTCTGGATTGGGAGATGTGTTCGGGAGGTGCTGTTCGGCCCCCACCCTTCGTCTCGTGAGAATTCGGTGCTGGACCCGAGGCCGCGAATCCTTGAAGATAGCTCAGGGTGCGCGCCCCCGAAGACGCGAACCCTGGCACATTAGAACGGAAGGGCGCTCCGGAGGCCACCATCCCTCATCAACTACCACAAACGCACCCTGGCAGCCATCCAGAAAACAGCCTAAATAAGCGACCAAACATCGATTCAGACAACAAGCGCATCAGCGGAGCTGCGAGCAGGCCAACCGGCAAGAGAATCATTCTGCCTAGCAACCGAGCGCGGCTGCACAAGCAATTCATGTGGCAGGGGGGCCAGCGGTGGAGGGCGAAACCCTTCAAATGATCAGCAGCAGCAGCCACAAGAGGGCAGTAGAGGACCAGGAGCAGCGACGGAAGGAGGAGGGGAGGCCAAAAACATGAGCGGCAGGAGGAACGCAACTGGAGGAGAACCAGGAGGGACGAGCAGAAGGGGAACAAGCAAAAGGAAGGTGAGGAGTGAATGAGGAGGATGTGAAGGAGGGAGCGGAGTGCGGGGAGGGGGAGGGGGAGGGGGGAGGGAAGATGAGCAGCAGGAGTAGGAGCACGAGAAGAAGAAGGTACGAAGGGCGAGGAGGGAGCAGAGGAAGAGGAGAGCGGCGAGGAGGACCGGGACGACGGCGAAAAGCAGGGGGCTGGAGGAAGGGAGGAGAACCAGCAGCACGGCGAGGAAGAGCTGGAACTCCTCCTCCTCCTCCTCCTCCTCCTCCTCCTCCTCCTCCTCCTCCTCATCCTCCGTTTCCTCCGCTTCTGTCTCCTCCGCCTCCACTTCCTCCTCCTTCTTCTTTTTCCTACAGCCGTGAGACGAAGAAGCTGTTGGCGTCCTTAACAATGCAAACACAGCGGGCGGGGAGAGGGGCAGCAGGCCCCGAAACTCCTCCGCCCTCCTCCTACGCCTCCTCGCAGTCCTGCCTCCTCCATTTCCTGTTTCATCCTCATCCTCCCTCCGCTCCTCCTCCTCCCTCTCCTCCTCCTCCTCCTCCTCCTCCTCCTCCTCCTCTCCTCCCTCCCATGTCCATCATCTCACTCCTCCTCCTCCTCTCCTACTCCTCCTCCCTACTATCCTCCTCCTCTCCTCCTCCTCCTCCCATCCTCCTCATCCTCTCCTCCTCTCCTCCTCCTCTCCTCTCTCCTCCTCCTCCTCCGCATCACTCCTCCTCCCCCCATCGATCCTCTCCTCCTCCTCCTCCTCCCCCCTCCGCCTCCTGATGGGGAAGAGTGAGCCCACCGCCGCCTGCTGACCCGCGGCGCAGCTCGCCGGGCATGCCCATCGGCGGGGGCGGCGCCCCAGGGGCGCCTGCCCGGCCATCGTCGTCGTTGCCGCCGCCGTCGTCGCCATCCTGCTCATCATCGTCGTCCTCCTCGTCCTCCTCCCCCTGCTGCTCCTACCCCTCCCGATGTCGTTTCTGCAACTCCTCCTCCATCTCCATCTCCTCCTCCTCCTCCTCCTCCTCCTCCTCATCATCCTCCTCCTCCTCTTCCTCCTCCTCCTCCTCTTCTACTTCCTCTTCCTCCTCCTCCGCATCCTCCTCCATCCCTTATGAGTAACTTCTTCCTGTCGCACCCCCAGACGCGTCGGTAGGGAGGAACGAACTTTTCGCATGAGAGTTCCTCGAGGTTGATGATCCTGAAGCATCGAAGTTGGCAACCGTTTCGCGGATGGAGGACTGGTCGTTTTCACAATGTGGCTCTCGCCCCAGCGCCGCGCACACCCGTCTTATAAAACTGCAACAGTGTCAGTGCTGAAGGGCGGGGCCTTGTCAAAATGTGGTTCTCGCCTTAGCGCCGCGCGCAGTCGCCTTCAAGTTGTGCAACCTCAAAGATTGAACACTAGTCCTCAACATGTGGCTCTCGCTTTAGCGCCGCGAACATTCGTCTCCAAAGCTCGCAGCAGCTTCACGGATGGAGGGCGGGTCGTTTTCACGATGTGGCCCTCGCCTAAACGCCGCGCACATTCGCCCTGCACGTTTGCAACAAGGTCACGGAGTGAGGGCGGATCCTTTTTTCAAAATGCGGCTCTAGCTTGAGCGCCGCGCACATTCGTCTTATTTACAACAACTTCACGGATAGAGAGCGGGTCGTTTTGAGGATTTGGTTATCGCTTGAGCGCCGCGAGCATTGTCTCAAATGTATTGAAGCAGCTTCATAGGTTCGTATGCTTGATGTCCCAAGAATGGTGCTCTGGCACGATTTAGGATTGTCAGAACGCAGCAAGCAGACACGCTGATTCACGGTATTGAGGTCCCCCGCATTGTGGTCTGGCACGGCTTCTACGAATGTCAGGACGCAACTATCACGTTGATCCGCGGCGTTGCACTCCCCGGATTCGTTTAGCCACGACTGGGGGTTCTCAGACGGCTCTCTTCGAATATACCAAGTTCCTGCGGAGCTCTGGAAAGGGAGCCTGGAGGTGTATTGCAGCATCGTTGGCGCGTCTTGAATTACTCTGGTCCCCCTCCTCCTCCTCCTCCTCCTCCTCCTCCTCCTCCTCCTCCTCCTCCTCCTCCTCCCCTTCCGCCTCGGGCTGTCGCTGCTGCCACTCCGCGTCCTCCTCCGGATACGCTGATACGCTGATGGCGAAAGAGCCGTACCGACGTCGCCCTCCAGGGCCGGTCGGCCCTGGGGGGCTGATCAAGCCAATGCCAGGTGACCCCCTATAGAGCACCGCTCCAGCGGTCACCGGCAGGCATCTCTGAGAGGTAGAAAGGGGGAAAATCGAAAGACAGAGGCCAGGGCCCCGAGGATGACTACCTACCAAACCACCCCAACCCAACCCGAAGACCCGAATTTCGGGTTGGGGGGGGTAAGGGTTCCATCTGTTTTTTTCCATGTTTCCCGACCCCCCCCACTGGAAATGGAGGGCAAATTGAAGCCTTCGGGTTGGGTTGGGGTGGTTTGGTGGGTGGTGAGAGGAGAGTGCAAAAACTGGCCAGCGAGGGCGCCCGATGCCCCCGAGACAAGATGCCCCAGGACACCTGGGCCCATCACGCCATAGACCGAGTTTGATCCAAGGGCGTCTGGATGCAGCCCGCATGGGCCTCTTTACGAAAGCTGCCCAGGCCGTCGGGCTTAAGCAGGAGACCGCACAAACCACTCTCACAGATCATGCCCTTCGTCGCCAGAGTTGGGTGCACAGGAGAAAGAAGTCCATAAATCTGCCTCCAAAACCGTTGCTCCCGACCGTGGCCTCTCCCAGGACTTTGCCGATGATAACCCTGGCCTGTCCAAAATAATGAAAGAGCAGCCTACTGGCGGGGGGAATATTACGACGGACCCGAGACCATCAATTGGGTTCTGGCACACAGTCTTCCCGATGATTTGGCTCTTCCCGAAGAAAGCTGAACGCGCGGGGGCGGACGGGCAGTAAAGGATCGCCTTCCTGGTCAGAGAGTACGCTCGCACTGTCGGTCTCCCTGGAACCTGCACTGTGCGACGATGGGAACGACCGCCTCCTTCAACGATGCCTCGAGGAGTGGTTTCTTCATTTCAAGCACGATGAAACGAGTAACGCTGGCTCGGTCTGGTCCAGACGCATGCTGGATAGGTCATTCAACTGGGACTTGGTATCCTCAGACATGGCCGCGAACTTAGCATCTGTGTCGATCACTAGCTGGTGGGTAGTTTGGCCCTGGGCGCGATTGATCTCAGCGAAACGGAAAAGTTCCTCCTGACGAGCTGCCATTTTCGCGAACTCATATCGCATACGATAGGAGTTCGAACCGAAGGTCGACATCTCGCTCCTGAACAATTCAAACTCCGCTGTGTGCGTGGTGAACCCCTGACGAGATCCTGGAGGCTCGTCTTTGGGGACGTGATCGCGCTGATGTCACTGAAATGTACCTGCGGGGCGACGTTGGACGGAGAAGAATGTGTTTCCCATCGGGGATCACATACACGGGTGGTGTCAGCTGCGAGACCACTCCCGCCATGGCTGGAGAATGGGCCGAGGAGAAGCGAGGGCGCGGCGGGCCGCGGCGAAGCGGGAGCAAGGGGACCCGAGGAGCGGGTCGGGGGGATCGCCTGTCCGAGCGGGTCGCGCAGACGACCACACTGAGCCGATACGGCTAGAGCCAACGGCTACGGAGGAGGAGGGGGAGGAAGAGGCGGAGGAGGAGGGGGAGAAGGAGAAGGAGGAGAAGGAGGACGAGGAGGAGGA